GGTGTTATACTAGCTCTGGACAATCACAGAGCGGTGTTATATAGCTGAGAACCCAACTCACAGCAGCGGTGTTATCATAGCACTCCCTGTGGGGGACAGAAGCGCCCCTATCAGGGCTGAGAGGTGAAGCAGTTTGGTTTGAGTGCAAACATCGAGCCAGATAGAATTAAAGCTGCAACTGCAAGGAACCAACCCCTTGTCTGCGTTATCCCAACTGTCCTTGTCCCTCTGTCCTCACCCTAACCAGGCTTGAGTACCCTGCTGTTTAACACAGTGAAGGTGTTTGATTATTGATTACCTGACGTCACCTTCCCTCTGATTATTAATTCTGAACCCCACAGAAGAAGACTCACCTCCACAAGGTCTAAACAGCCTCAGCAACGGCAGCAGCCAGGAACAGACCGTCAGTGTGAGGCGTCAGACAGGTGACCCACAGCCTGGACACACGATTTACTGCTGCAGCTGGTCCTACAGACAGAAAGTTACATCATAATACTGCAGTAGTCTTTGTGTACAAGTACTACTAATACCGTGTACAAGTACCTCCTAATACCGTGTACAAGTACTACAGTTATCCATTGACTCAGCCAACTAACACAGGAGCACAGTAACTCTGGTTATCGGTTACCAGGGCTTCCTGTTGGGGGGGGTAATATCAGGGACTCCTGTTGGGGGGGGGGGTATATCAGGGCTCTGTTGGCGGAGGGGGGGGGATATAATCAGGGCTCCTGCGTTGGGCGGGGGGGTATCTCAGGCTCCTGTTGCGGGGGGGGGGGAAAGGGGGGGTATACTCAAGGGCTCCTGTTGGGGGGGGGAGGGGGGGTATATCAGTGGCTCCCTGTTGCGGGGGGGGCCGACGGGCCCCCGGGGACGCGGCGGCGGGCGGGGGTCATTATATGCTAAGGGGCTCCGCTATTAGAAAACACAGGAAAAATCCGGGCAGACGTCTGACCTCGGTCACTCAGTGACCAGAGAAACACATCTCTTGTCGCATGCGCGCGCTCCGGGAGTCAGAACAATCGTGCCAAAAGACCGCCTGCACTCTTGTCTGTGGGGGGTTCGGTCTGACAGGTCAGTACCTATCAAACGTGGTCCAACGGAAGGAACAAGAACCAAAGAGGACAGCGGATCCACAGGGGGGCTGAGGACTCAATCATTTGCTGCAGGACCGGTGGGCGAGTGAAGCTGGCCCGTGTGGTCGATCCAAACAGACATTCATATATATATATATATATATAGTATATATATTTTTTTTTTTTATTAACAAAGCAGAAAATTCGGACTAATCAATAATAATCCTGTGTCACAGGTTGTATTAAGGACATATTGACGATGACAAGACCCGCTATCCAGTTTAAAATGGCAGATTTTTAAAAAGGGATTCTGGTGAATGTTGTGTCCCCCTATGCTTCCGGAGTCATTCAGAGTTTTCCCCAACCACCTATCCTGCCATGGGTGGCGTGGTCGGTGCGGGGACACGCCAGCAGGTGTGTACAATGTGTTTTTCAGCGTGTGTGTTGTAGGTTTGTTTGTAGGTGCGTCCAGCCTACCTTCCCTCCTGGAGTCTCAACCCACACGTCTGATCGAAGTTCTTGCCCCAGCATGAACGACATGCCAGGTACTGGGCCGCCCGAGGACGGGTGAAGTGTCCGGGCGACGCTGTTACCTCCGGTAGGACAACAGGCTGGAGCCCCGCTGTGCAGGGTTCGAACACCGGTGCTTCGTTCCACAGCTGAGAGCCGGCAGTCACTTGCTCACATGCGTCACCTCCAAAGGACGCCATGTGGGCATCCACCACACCAAACTGCACGCAAGCAGGGGGCACGTCATTTCCTGGACCAGGTGCACTGTGTGGGAGATGTAGTACGCGCAGGCAAACTTAACATAACTTCTTCTTTCCTTCCTTTTATGACGGAGTGCAATCATTTTACTTTGAAATTCATAAAACGCCATCTAAACTGGACCCGGAATATGACCTTCACCCGACACACACACAAACACAGGCACACATATACGTTAGAATATCTATATATATATATATATAATATATATATATATAATATATATATATATATATAATATATATATAAATATATCATATACATATATAAACTACTGTCTATATAATATATATATAAATATCTACATAATATCTTAGATTGAAAAAACTGATATCACGTGCTGCTGGATGAAGCAATTAATCAGTTTGTTATTCCCAGCTGAATATTTGACACATGATATCCAGCTTGTGTTCCTCTGAACTGAGTGCTGCCTGGGCTGTAAGCCCCGCCCCCGTACTGTTTAAAATCTGATAAATATATCTTGGCTCTATCTCAGCTATCCTGATAAAAATGAATGGAGCAGAAAATTAACATGAAAAACTATAGAATTTCTAGACTTTAAATGTCTCTCGCTGAGCTCCAACACCCGGCCGCTGCAAGGTACCAAAAAAATCATTAATGGATGTAATCCAAACAGTTCATTCAGTAAAGGCTTGAGAAACAAGAATTGTAAAATAATAACAATTGTCAGATCAGGAACTTTAACTAGTTACTTCAAGGCTGGATTACTGCAACTCTTTATTATCAGGTTGCCCTAATAAGTCCATTAAAGATGCTCAATTAAATGAAAACGCTGGGAAGCAACGAGTAAGCTGACAGGAATAGGAAAAGAGACTCATATCTCTCCTGTTCTAGCTTCTCATGGACTGGCTCACCCTGTTAAAGTTTAGAATAAGAATTTAAAATCTCTCCTCCTCCACCTAGTCAAAGCTCTGTCCATGGTCAGGCCCCTTATATCTCAAACAGCTCATAGTACCCATCGGTGAGCTCCTGAACATCTCTCTAGTTATGCGCTATAAGGCCTTAGACTATTGGGGGATCTCCATGGTGCCAACTGAGCTCCTCTTCTTGCCCTCTCTCTATCTTTCCTGCAACTTCATTCAATGTCCACCTTTAATGCATGTCACTCAACTTCACTTCTTCCCCAAGCAGTTCTTTGTGCTTTCCTCATATCCGCAGGTTCTCGATGGATCTGGTGGAGCCTCCCTGCCATGGTACCTGCTGGATTGCCATTGCTAAAATCCACTGATATTCATTCGCTCACTACTTATTATTATAAGTTTATGAATGTTTATCATCATCAGTCACTACTATTAGTGTAGTTGTTGCTACTGTTGTTGCTGTGCCGTCATGTCTGTCTGTCTGTCTGTCTCTCCATCTTCCTTTCCCACCCACCTAGAGCCGAAGGGTTGTGTCCTAGGTTTCTGCCTGTTAACAGCAGTTTTTGGATGTACTCATGTTTTGAGTTTACACGCAATATGAAGTACTAAAAAAACAGACAGGAGACTTCATGAAGAAGTAACACTGCTTTAACTTCCACAGATCCACAACCATCTTTAACACATTCCTCTCTTTAAATCAAACTCACAAAAGGCTTATCTCAGACCTTTATGGCATGGTGTCGGACCTAAGGTGTGCCCCAATGGACAAGCTCAGATCAACATGGGAGGAGGATTTAGGCCTCCATCAGAAAATACATGAAGCTCTCTGTACTCACTGTACAATCATTTCCTTATTCCGTTTAAAATGGTACAAAGGCTCATATGAGGTAAGTTCGTACTGTGATAAGTCTAAAAGTGCTGAAGCTTCTCTATTGTACTGGTCGTGCCCCGGTAAGAACTGGAAGGAGATCTTTCAGACACTATCTCAGGTGCTAAACACTAAACTCTGTTTGGGGTCAGCGGAGGAGAGACATTTAACTGCAGTAAAACGACGCACTCTATCTTTTGTTTCCCTTCTGGCTCAGCAGGCAATTCTGCTCAGGTGGAATGAAACTGCCCCGCCCACTCACAGACAACATATAGTGAATATACACCCGCATTCAGCTGCTGACATTGTATACCCACGCTTGTCAATTATATGCATAAGATGACCAGCACTGATTCAACTTTCACAGATCTAGTCTCAAGACCTTAAGTCTTCTAGTTTAATGAAATAGTGCTGTAATTTAATTTCCCGATAATTCATATAAATATAAATATCAAATTTTTGTCTGATAAATGATCTGCCCCGATAATTACCGTGCATCCTTTTTGATAATGAAATAATAATCAGTTACCACTGTAGATGAAAGTGAATTAATCTCACCCACTGGCTGATGTGCTTATCTTTGTCTCAAAAGAACTTGATGGTTTGATGTCCTCATTCTTACTCAAGTGTTTAAGTGACGTGAATTTGTTTATTGAGGAGCTGCAGTGGTTTCAGTTCAGAGTACAGATATTTAAACATCCTCACAGAGTGAATACAGTATCATCAGTTCGGGGGGAGGATGGGGGAGGACGGGGGAGGTTTGAGGAGGACGAGCTCTGTTTGTTTGGAGGATTAACTCGGTGAAGCTTTAAAATGTAAATCTGCTCAGAAAAGAAAGAACAGCGTTGAGTCAGTGAGAAGAAAAGATGGAGACGATTGAGATGAATGAATAAAGACACAAATCAACAGAAACTCTCCAGGATTTATCCTCATCCTGTAGTTTTTACTTAAAAAGCACACAGGATCGTCTCTGATTAATGAGCTCATTAAGAAACCGGGAATTACGAACATACACCTTCAGTGTTTTACTGTTTGGAGAGCAACGCTGACACTGAGGATTATTCAGCTGAAATAAAGTAAAAACAATCCCTCTCTTCAAATGTTCAAATCAGACTGCAGAGTGTTCACTTATTAAACATTACAGGCAGGTGATATGTAGGTAGTATGGCCTACAACATAGGAAGGAGGATATAGAAGGTTGGTGAATGTAAATATAATGCTGTACAATATTGTACAATGTACAATAATGAATAATAATGTACAATAATGTACAACATTGTATAATAATGTACAATAATGCATAATATAGTATATCAGAGTAATGTCTATTTTAATGGTGGACACAAGTCAACAGAACACACTCTGTAGTTAAACGGCCAGTACAGGTGTAAAGTGAAGAGTGAGACTCACTTGGCTACATAGAGACACCTGGAAAATGTTTCCGTCACTGCCTCCACAGAACAGGAAGTACTCGCAGGGGTCAAAGGTCACAGACATGATCTCCACATCAAACAGGACGGAGAGGAGCAGCTCACCTGAAGACAACTCCCACACCTGGAAGGAAGAAGACAGACACAGCAGGTTCGGAGATTAAACACAGCTGAAGCCAAATATTATCATTTATAATACGGCCATTATTCATTATAATTATTCATAATATCATCATCTGAGACTGACTGAAGACCATTAGCACCTCACCCCCAACCCTAAGACCACCTAACCCGTAACCCTGACCCAGGTTTTTTTTGTTGTACTAAAGGAAACATATCAAACACCAAACTTCTGTCATTTTTCGGTCCAGTTTTGGAGTTCATCAGATAAATCTTCATCCTCAGAGAGGAAACAGGACGTCATCATCATATGTTTCAGATATCCACCATTAAAGAGGACAACTCAGCCGCCGCCGGCCAATCAGCATCGCACACTCCACTGCAGCACTGTGATCCTTCATCTGAGTTTCCATGTAAATACATTTTATGGTAGAGAAAAAGAGAGTGAAGTGTAGTAATGGTGACAGGATGTGATTCGTCTCTGCTGCCAGCTGACCTCTGACCCCCAGTGTAATAGAGCTGCTGGCTCTGCAGAATAAAAACTGTTTCTGTTCCAGACTCCACTTAAAAATCTGATCATTTAAAATGTGAGCAGCAGAGACGCCTCGGCGCGTGTTCAAAACCTCCTGACCATCCGTTACGATGTCACAGCGAGCTGACGTGTCATTATTGAGACTCCGCCTCTTGTGATTTATATCAGAGGGGATATTACCAAAATTAAAAACGGATCTGAGGAGGAGGAGAGGACACGCTCGCTGTTTAAAAATATTAATCATTCTGATCGGAGGTGATCACAGTCGCACCATCTGATTGCTAAATACAGGTTTCACTGTCGCTTCAGTTAATTCACACAGAACACTAAAAAATAATGTTTATATTCTGTACAAT